TGTAAAAATTGGCAATTTTTTGGGACCTTTTAGAGTAATTAATGTATGAAAACGAAGAAGGAAGCCCAGTCAAATCTCACTCCGGACGCAATCCTGCTAATCGGTCGCTGCTAAGTGTCACCATATTATTCAATGCCTTCTTTGATAACTAATAATTTTAATTTTACATAATTTCATAAATGTTAATACAATTTTTTTATCCGTAAAAAAACGAATATATGTAAAAAAGAAAATTAACATCTTGTTTATCCTACTTAACCAACTAATCTAAACCATCCTAAGATAAATACTAATAAGGTAGCTTATGCGAATTCTGCAGTTTACTGTAATTCCTTTCTAGAGATTTTTTTTATAATATATATGTGTTATTAAAATTGTTGATTTAATCTTTTTAAAATCATATTATATTCATTTTAACCTTTTGATGAATAACATTTTTATATTTATTACCGAAATTACTTATTTTCATCTTTATTTATAAAGCACTAGCTAAAATTATTATCTACTGATGAATAAATGACGTATTATTAAAAACTGAATTGTAAAGACAAATTACAAAATAGAAATTAAAAAAAAAGTATACTATGTATAAATTTATTCAAACTTCATAAAATGATACTGTTTGAAATTGTTTCAAGAAAATAACGATGTACGTATAATTATAGGATGAAGTGACGCGTAGAACGAAAGTTGGTGGACTTGTCATCCACATAAAGTATGGCCAATTCACAACACCAATAATTTCTCACATCACCGTATACATTTCAACTCTGATATAAAATTTATTAAAAACCAATTTCATCAAAATATTGCAGCAGAAAAATAAATCATGAATTTCATCATAGCGTACATAATCGTGCCAGCGAGGCAACAACAGGATCTATAAAGCAGGAAAAGAACCTCACCTCTCACCTAACATAACAATCCCAAAAGGAACCGTAGAGAGAGAAAGAGAGAGAGAGGAAAAGGAGATCATACTCCACAGACACGGAAATCAAAATTTCCCACATACAGGATCGATCGTTGGAGTGGGAAGAAACACAAGAAAAAATGGGTGGATGCAAATGTTTGCTGTCGTTGGTGGTGGTTTTGGCCTTGACGATGAGTTTGGCAGAGGCGCAATCTGGAACTACCGGCACTTGCGCCCAAGAGCTGATTCCGTGCATGGACTACTTGAATTCCACCGGCACCCCACCCAGTTCTTGCTGCGACCCACTCAAGAGAACCGTAGAAAACGAACTCGCTTGCCTCTGCAACCTTTTCTACACCCCTGGCCTGCTTGAAAATTTCAATATCTCTATCGACAGTGCTCTCGGTCTCAGTCGCCGCTGCGGCGTCACCAGTGATCTCACCAAATGCAATGGTACATATATCTTTTGTTTCTATGCCTATTTTGGGACTCCGTTCAAAAAATTCAATTCATATTTACATCTTTTTCAACTTATTTACTTTCTTCTCGCTTCTCTCCACTTTAATTTTCATTTTCTTGTGTGCGTTTATGTATTGCTCGCTTCTAATCTTCCTACTAAATTTGGTGGATTTTCAACAAATTGAGTCCTTGGGACAACTTATCACGAAAATGATTTGTTTATTTTTTTAAAAATGATCTAAATGGTAAAAACATTATAAAAAAATTATCTTGAAAAAGTGTTCTTCTACAACTTCACTTTTTTTTTTTAAGTTGTATTTGATATATAATTTAGTTTCTAAATAGGACTCACATGTTTTATAATTATTTTCTGATTTATCTATTTCAAGAATTTGTCCGAGAAATTACATCAGTGTCCAGAGTTTCTGTTCATAGCCTTTCAGATTTTGATAGGTGTTATTGAGTGTGTTTTCAGATGAGTGCATGCATTAATTGTGGTTGCTTGTAGTACTAATTTTGTTCTGTTTATTCTACTTCTTAATTTTCAGCTCCTGCTCCCGCTTCAAGGGCACCTCCAGGTAAAAACGTCTTTCAACATCGCCAAATTTAATTTCTTCTTATGTGCTTTGTTTATGGAGTGCCAGATAATAATATTCAACAGAAAACGATAGATAATACTAATAGAGATGTTATACACTTTCATCACCTTCATGAACATACGTTTCAGATAATCTGACCGACGAATGTTTTATTATTTGAAAGATAAATTTGTAAATTATTTTAATAATTATTGAAGAATTTTTTACGGTTAAAGTATTTCAGAAAAAAATACCATTTAAAGATATTTGGCCTATTGAGAAAAAGAAGAAAAACAATACACGCTGCTCCCTGCTCTGAATTTTCTCCTTTTGAGTAAATCCTGCCAATCACTGAGTGCAGTTTAGAATTTAGTAAAATAATCTGGTAAAGTTAATTGAATTGATAAATATGATTAAAATTTAATTAAATGAGATAGTCAAATGTCATTTGGGAAATGGCCAAAATGACGCGTATTCTTGTCTACCTACCAGAAATAGAGTTTTGAAATGCATATTATAATAGATGTGGTACAGTATTCATTGATGAGCTTGGATTTAAGTCAGAAGAATCATAAAGCGTAAACATGCAATTTCTTTTTCTCATCTTTCTCACCCACTATCTTTCACGAGGGCTATCATGGCACGAACGAACCTTCGGTCGAACACAATAGTAACCACAAAATGATAAATTGTGAAAAATGAACTTTCGTGTGAACCACACATCTGTAATAAATTTCCAAGTAGCTGAAATTTGGAGTTTGTAAAGTAGAATTTGTTTTCTTGGTTCATAAACATTGAATTTTGTCCTTGCAGCGACTCCTGGATCAGGTGAATCAGGAGCAGGCAAAGCAACATTCACGGGGATTTCTTTCCTCCTCTTATTTTGGGTATCTATGCTGTTTAATTAAGGTGGCATTTTAGCCTTGGAGCCTCCTATCTCCTATGTTCAACTTATCTTTGTACTGTTCACTCATTTCATTGTATTTTCGTGTTCTTTTTCCTCGTTAGAAACCTATGATTCAATTGAGTAAAATAGTTTATTTACAGAATGGACATTCATTCTTCTGCTCAATTTTTTGTTTGTACACTTGTTTGTCGTGCTTTTGGTTGCACAGTCTATATACACTGGATTATTATTATGAATTATTATTATTATTATTTTACTTCACAAGCTCTTCCCCAGTTTTCTTTCAGCTAACTCGTCTGGGTGCCATGGTTGAGGGCCCATGATAAATAAGGTGCCCAATAGTTTAAAAAGATTATATAAGTGTTTATAAATTTTATATTATTTATATAAATAGATTGAAATTATTATTTTGTTTTATGTATTTTTATATTCAAATTAAAATGACAGATATATTAAAAATATTACTAATTTTGACCTTACCGGCAATATTTAATACAGAGGACGGAAAGAGTCACGTCTATTCTGTTATGTTATGATTGTCGCCTAATATATAAATATTTATGTATATGTAAATTAAATGATAAGCCATAAAATTAGAGTAACAAAATCCTTTTTAATAGGGTGAAGGGAGAAATTTGAAGGAGTGGAGAAAGAAACATAATGCCCCTACTTATGAAATAAGAATGGATTGGACCAATGGGTTAATTTAAACTACAAAATCGAGTTCAATTAATTTGAAAATCGATAAATACAATAATTTTAAAAAAAAGATAGATGAAAACTTGGTTCTTAATGGTTTGAACTTTTAAGAATTATAAATCAAATGTTATTTTTTTCCTCAAAAGTAAAAAAGTAAAGTATTTGTCATTGTTCAAGAAATTTATTGCTTTCAAATAATTTATTATATACTATTGAACCTTAAATATAAATATTATGAACTATTTTATTCTTACGTTTGTTTTGAACGTTATATTATTTTGTTAAAATCAAGGTTGAATCAATAAATCTAGAATCGGTGTGTTAATACTTCAATAATGGCGACTTCTAAAACATACCCCAAGAAGGTTTATAAAAATGGTATACAAGACTGAATATTTAAAAAATATAAAAATGATGACTTTGAATGCCTACCGAGGCACATGTTTTTCAGGAAAACTGTTTATGCATTCATAATAGAAAAAGTGTTTCGAGGTAGCACAGTGATCATTAATATTTGTTGAATTTATATGCATAAAATTCGATGAAAATAAATATTAGAAAAAACCATGTATTGAACAGTGTGTTTAGGGCTCAAATGATGTGGTCTGCCTTTAGCAAATAGTTTTTCTTCCTGCATCCCTATACTTTTAAAATAAACGTTTTACTTAGTAAAAATGACTTTTTTGGAGTGAGTTTTTCCGAATAAGTTTTTTTGAACGAGCTCCCTGTCTTCCTTTTCTTCTCTACACTAGGGAATGGAGATGCAGGGTGATGGTGAGAGCGGTGAAGGTAGTGAGAATGTTGATGTGGTGTAAGGAGTGAGGGTGTTTCAGTCTTTTTATTTTAATATGAAGCTGCAGTTAGTAATAATAAGGGTGTAGGAAGAAAAGGCCTGAGCCAATTTTGATGGACCCAAACATAAAATCCAAACGAAAGTGGTGGAGGTGAAAACTACTTGAAAGGTGGAGAAGTGTGGATCCATCTGGAATGAAATGGCATGAAACAAACATAGAGGTAGCTACCTACCTACCAGCCTGAGTGCGTTTTGTTCTGTGTAATAAATAAATAAAGAAGGAATAGTTGGAGTAAAATGGCATTTCTGAGGTCAGTAGCAACAACAGCAACTGCTGTAGCAGCTATTCCTGCAGCCTTCGCCTTCTCTTCTCTTTCATCTTCTTCATCATCGTCATCTTCCTCATTCTCTCGCTCTTCCGAATCTTCCAATTCCTCCAATAGATTCGGCCTTCTCAAAACACTTGCTACCCCTCCCTCTGTTCTCCACATGGATCACAAACTCTCTTCTCAGGTTCCTCATTCTTATCTCTCCTACTTTTCTCTCAATTACTTAATTCCCCGCTATGTAATAGTTCCCTTCTTTTCTCACGCAGCCTGATGCCGTCTTGCCCGAGTTACTGGTCAGTTAGATGTTCTCTCTCTTCGCTATTTGGCTCGGTTAAGTCAAATTCTTAGTTAGTTCCTAATTTGTTTTCTTGTGAGGTCAGACGGAGTACATGGTGGATATGAAATGCGAAGGTTGTGTTAATGCAGTCAAAAATAAGTTGCACGAGATTAATGGTAAGTGTTTCGTTAAGTGCTTGGACCAGCTTGTGTAATTTATTTTCTGCATTCAACGTGTTTGGAACCATGAATGAATGGAATTGGAGTTTGTAACCTCCAACCGATCAAAGTTTATAGGACAGGATTTGAGGTATATTGTGCATTAGCTACAGTAGTTACCGTTGCCTAGCCCATGTCCAGTTTCTCTTAATAAGATAAGTTCTCGTGAAATATAATGTACTTCTCCCCACAATTTGGATAGTGATTGAGGGGAAACAAATACGGTCGTAGTCTTCTGTCCCCAAGATTTTAGACAAGATCATGGAAACAATTAAAAACTTTCCAATAATGATGCTAAGGGGGACTTCTATATAGGAAGATATTCCCACAGGCTGTACACACTTGAATGCCATGAGACTAGGTAAACCCTAACATAAGTAGAGGAACTTTAGAACAGAACGGGTTTATTTTGAGCTGATTGCTGACATTAATTATATCGATTCACAATTCTATTGGTTTTAAGCCACCCCATAGATTTCTTGGTTCACGTTATTTGGCTCCTCGCATTTTTTTTTCAGGAGTTAAGAACGTAGAGGTGGACTTGAGCAATCAGGTTGTAAGGATTCTTGGTTCAACGCCGGTTAAGACCATGACTGAAGCCTTGGAGCAGACTGGTAGAAAAGCCCCGGTTAATTGGGACAAGGAATACCGGAGATGTTTGCTAGTCAATTTCGTGCTTTGTCACGGTTTGAATTGTAAATTTTGTAATGCTAAGCTTTTCCTTAACGACTTTCTTGCTTTGTTAGCGCCCTAAAAACCAATATTTCACTCGCGGGACCTGTTTGGCAAAGTAAAAAATGTAGTGAGATTAATTTGGAAACACATCCCCATCATTTTAGTGTAGAGTTTATTTCAAAGTCAATTTTACCAAAATCATTTTGATGCAGAGTACTACCTTTTCTAAGTTAATCACCTTACATGAGACTGTAAAATCTGCAAAAATAATGTTAGTGGTTTACTCTTTATTTTGTTTATTTGGAGGAATGAGTGTGATAATTATGAAGTTGGATGTTTATTTTCACCTCTTAAAACTTGAGTTTGTATGCTCCTTTAAACTACATCCTTGTCACGGTAGTTCGTTTACTTCTTTCACAGTCGCAGAAGAGAAATAAGCTCCTTTTCTTTGAAAAATCGTAACATACTAAGGCATACAACTTGTATACCTAATAGTATATTCCTTAGTCTCCACATTTTTGGTTCCAAGTCTGTTACAACAAACGAACACAAAGTCAAATTTAGAAGCTTTAGCTTTTATTTTCAACATTTTTGGATAATTTACTTATGAGTCTTGATGATAGATACATTTGTTATATTTTCTCCAATTAAAAGGACTCAATCACCTTATTTCTATAAGTATATGACTTCATATATGTATTGGGTTGATGCTAGGTTGGGAGACTTGGCCCCTGTTTGTTTCCACTCCAAACAGAGGCTTGAGGATGTCTCTCACTATGGGAAACAATTATTGAATGTTAAGATATATTTATTTTAAAATTGAAAGTTCAGAATTTTTTGCTTTGTCTTTCTCTTTTCCAAGATATCCCTCCCTCTTGATCCTTTCTTTCTCGAATTTCTCCAAATTTCCCCATCATGAGCGAACCCAGCACTTTCTCCAAAATTGGAAATAAGGAGTGGCCAGACTCAAAATATGAGACTTCTCCATGGGGACCTTAAGTTGGCTCAATCCAAATGGCTTGTAACCCAGTGATGGAGGAGCCATATTGTCTGCATGATACTCCAAAGTCTCTCTTCGATTTTGACGATGCGAGAATGAGCTCCTCGAAGATCAATTTTTTCCCAAACATCACGTTCACTATGGCTGTGGTTCTGATGATACTGGAACCTAGGCTGCTTCCCAAAGGCAACCTCTTGGAGGGAGAGGGAAAGATTTTCGGATCAACTGGCAGGCATTTTCATGACTTGGATAATGGTGATGCCAGCACTTCTCCAAGTTGTGAATGTTTCAACCAAGGTTTGCCAGTGGCTGAGTTACCCTTCCCCATCCTCAAATGAGACCCTGATTCGATTCTTCCCTTCTTGGGCTTAGTGTTGCATCCTTTTTTGATTATTTGTTGCATCGATTTATTGTTTTATACTTTCTTTCCTTCATAAATGATGTTGCGGAGTAAACAGAAGTACCAGAAATGTGAATTTCAGCTTCAATGAGCGTCAGTCCAATTGGTTCATGGCAACAAAAAACAGAGTTGGAGGGGTGGAGCAGTTATATGAACCATTCTTTTTAAAATAAATTTATCTAAGGTTTCACAATCTCGTACCCATATCGGGAAACATTTTCAAGCCTCTCTGAATATCGGAAATGATCATATTACATGGGATACTGCTTCTCTCTGCTATTTATTCCTACATTATTCCATTTTTATTGTGTCTGTTTTGTCTTTTATTTTAATGAAGCAGTAGAATATCTTATATAGGGTTTCTGTTTGCTCTTACTGTCAATTTTAAGCAATAATAGAGTAAAAGCAACTCTTCAATCAAGTCTTTTTGCCAACGAGAGCTGGTGAAACAATGACTGACGAGGGACTTTCTCTAGGGTGGATGTAATATGGACGGGAAGGATTTTGGGAGGGGTCAGGTGGTGGATTTGAGGAATTTCCATCAAACCTAGGGTTGGATGTATTGGAAGCTAAGCCTGACATTTTAGAGAAAAGCTCTTGATAACATAAAAGGGAAAAACAAAAAGAGAAAGAGAAGATATTGGAAAGGAAATTCCCTGTATATTGATGAAAGAAAGGTACACCATATATACTGCTATAACACGTGGATAAGAAGGAATAAAAGAAAACAGAAAATAGTACAAGAGCATAACCAC